CAGGCAATCCACTCGCCTCGGCCTCCCAAAGTGCTGGGATTACAGGCTGAGCCACCGAGCCCGGCCAGATTTTTTTTTTTTAATTCAAAAAAACAAATTTTAAAAATTAGAGGAGTGAAATTAAGAAGTACAACAATAAGGACAGCATGCTAGTTTGAGTATAAGAAATATTTTTGGCATAGAATTTAACTTAGTTGTAGAATATATGCTTTTAGGCCAGGTGCGGTGGCTTACACCTATAATCCCAGTACTTCGGGAGGCCGAGGTGAGAGGATTGCCTGCCCACGGGTTCGAGACCAGCCTGGATAACTTGGTGGGAACTCATCTCTACAATAAATCAAAAAATTAGCCAGGCGTGGTGGCACGTGCCTGTAGTTCCAGCTACTTGGAAGGCTGAGGTGGAAGGATCACCTGAGTCCAGCAGGTCGAGGCTGCGGCGGCCGTGAGCATGCCACTGCACTCCAGCCTGGGTGACAGAGTGAGACTCTAACAAAAAAAAAAGGAATATATGTTATATGTTTTCATGTAATAGGCTACAGATTCCACTTTTTTGGGGAGGGAGTAGGAGTCTCACTCTGTCACCCAGACTGGAGGGCAGTGGCATGCTCCCGGCCTAGCTTCAACCTGCTAGGCTCAGGCAATCCTTCCGCCTTACCCTTCCAAGTAGCTGGAACTACAGGCACATGCTGCCACGCCTGGCTAATTTTTTTTTTTTTTTGAGTTATTGTAGAGATGGGGGGGGGGTCTTACCAAGTTGCCTAGGCTGGTCTTGAACCCCTGGGCTCAGGCAATCCTCTCACCTTGGCCTCCCAAAGTGCTGGGATTATAGGTGTGAGCCACTGCACCCAGCTTAATTCCACTTTTTAAAATTTTTATTTTTATTTTGAGTGGAGATCTCACTCTGTTGCCTAAGCTGGAGGACTGTGGCATGGTCACAGCTCAGTGCAACCTCAACCTTCTAGGCTAAGGTGATCCTTCCACTTAAGCCTTTCAAGTAGCTGGGACTAGAGGCCTGCTACCATGTCCAGCTAATTTTTTAATTTTTGTAGAGACGAGTTTCTTTGTTGTCTAGGCTGGTCTCAAACTCCTGGGTTCAAGCAATCCTCTCGCCTTGGCCTCCCAAAGTGCTGGGATTATAGGCACAAGCCACCATACCCAACCTACAAATTCTATTTCTGGTATTTGCACTGTTATTTTAAGGTACATTAGCACTAAAAAAAAATTTACATGTTTTTCTAGCTTTACTTTCATTCAGATCAGTTGAAGCAACATGAATTATGGCAGTTGTGCTGGACTTGATTTCTTTTTCTTACTGTGCCACAAACTAGCTCTTGGTCCTTTAGACAAATCACTTGATTTCACTGAACCTTATTTTCATCATTTGTAAAATGATTTCTGTCTCATGAATAGCTCAGACCATTATGTAAGCTTTCTCTTCAAAGCGCTTTTATTTATTAATGATATTCTCTTTTTTTTTTTTTGAAAGCAGAGTTTTTTGAGAGGACAGAGAAGCTCTCACAGTGGGAGGGGACCCAAAAGGGTTGCCTGGTATTCTCTTTTAAGAGCATTTGTAATTATTTCTTTTAACTTATATATTATTATAATTATATATTAATAGTTATATAATTTATACATTCTTTCTTTTCATTGTAAATATATTCAGTTAATTCTTTTTGTTTATATAGTTCTTTAATTCTTTTCATAATTTTTTTGTTCTTTATTATTGCGTGTGTATAGAAATAAAAAGATTATTTAATAAGCTCATCAGAGGGAGTTAATCAGCTACAGCAAAAGTAGGGCCACTTGACCACAGGGCAAAACTAAAACAGGGGAATAAAAAGACACAGCAAAAACTTGAATTAATTTATTAGTATGTCTATCTAGGAGCTTTCCAACCAGATTATTTTATTTATTTATTTGATTATTTATTTATTTTTAGTTGGAGTTCTCACCCTGTTGTCCAGGCTGGAGTGCAGTGGCATGCTCATGACCACTGCAGCCTTTACCTACTGGGCTCAGGTGATTCGTCAGCCTCAGCCTTCCAAGTAGCTGGAACTACAGGCACGTGCCACCACGTGCTGCTGATTTTTTTTTTTTAGTTATTGTAGAGAAGAGGTTTCGCCAAGTTGCCCAGTCTGGTCTTGAAGCCGTGGGCTCAGGCAGTCCTCTCACCTTGGCCTCCCCAAGTGCCAGGATTTATAGGCAGGAGCCACCGTGCCCGACCAGATTATGATTTTATTTATCTATCTATTTTGAGTTGGAGTCACACTCTTGTTGCCCAGGCTGGATGACAAGAGCCACCATGCCCAGCATATTATTTTTTTTAATAGGATAGTGTTTAGGTCATAGATGACTTGATAGAACATACATAGGATATTTTGACCTAAACTGCAAACTGGTTTATATATGTATGTATATAGAAGGGAAAAACACTTTTGTGAGAATTTTGAAGTGATGTAAAGGTAAATTTTATAAGCTGGCGTGGTGGCCTGCACCTGTAATCCCAGCACTTTGGGAGGAGGAGGTGAGAGGATTGCCTGAGCCCACAGGTTTGAGACCAGACTGGACAACATGGCGACACCTTGTCTCTACAATAAATCAAAAAATTAACCAGGTGTGGTGGCGCACGCCTGTAGTTCCAGCTACTTTGAAGGCTGAGGTGGAAGAATCACCTGAACCCAGCATGTCAAGGCTGTGGTGGTTGTGAGTGTGTCGCTGCACTCCAACCTGGGTGACAGAGTGAGACCCCCAACTCAAGAAAGTAAATTTTATTAACCTGTATCAGTAGCCTGAACCTGTGGGTGACATTGTCTAGTGAGCGTTTTTAAGGAAAGTAGAAAGTCTAAGTATGGCACTATATCCTTTGGGATTGACAACAGTGAGAATTACCATGCCCTTTCTGATATGTCTCTGGATGAAACTGGCAGAGGTTACTGAATTAAAGAAATTCTTTGTCTAATGTGACTTTACATACAGATTTTTTAAAATTGTTACATTTAAGTCACATGTCTGTTTAATAAGTTGCTATCCAGATTATTAGGAAAAAAGTACTTCCATTTTGTAAAGAATAATCATAGCAATCATATTTTTTTCTGCTGTTATCATAACTTGTTTACTCCAGGACAAATATTCAGGGGATGGATAAGATTAGTGGCTTTTTTCCAACTTTTCACTGAAGTTGCATGGTCAGTCAATGCCAAAATTTTAAATGGAATCTGTACCTTATTTCCCATTGTGGTATTCTAATTTAGAATAATTTCTCATCCGACTTTTTAGAAAGGAAACACCCCAGAAAAAAGTTTTCATTTATTTATTGAATAAACGTGATTGAAATTTATTATGTGTCAGAACTATTTTAGAGTGGGGAGCTAAATAACATGATCTCTGTCCTCCTAAAGTTATAGAGTAGAAACTGGAACTGAAATATACTATTAATAATGCCTTATGTGCTGATACCTACATTTGCATATTGCAGTGGTTTTCAACCCTGGCTGCATAAGCAAGTCACCCACCTAACTTTGTGCAAATTCAGATGTCCAGACTTTACCTTTGGAGATTCAGATTCAGTATATTTGAACCATAACCTGAGCATGGATGTATTTAAAAAGCTCTACAGGTGATTCTGATGCAAAAGCAAGTGTTGAATGTATCCTAGTGTGTATCAGCTTTTAGTTCTTATATTACTTATAATGTTTTATTTGATCTGGATAACAGTATTTCTAGTTGGTAGAGTAGGTATTACTATCCTGTAACCACAGGTTTTACAAACTAAGAAACTAAAGGCAACAAGATCATGTACTTCATAAGTAGCTAAGTTAGATCCAGAAACCAAGTATTCTAACTGTCCAGAGAGGTCTTTTTTTTTTTTTAATAAAACAAATTATAGAAAAGTAAATTGGGGTTATCTTTTATGTTAAGGTTGAAGAAAAAGATGAATTCCTATGCTTTTTCCAAATTGTGGCTGATTCTCTCTTCTGGTTATTGGGAGGCCATGTTCAGCTCGTACAGAATGGTAAGATAAAAGATTTTAATGTTACTGATAGTTATTGTAGAGTCAAATGTTAGCAGTTTGATCTTTTTTTTCTAAAAATTAATGCCTCTCAAACTACACAGATAACCATAGTGAAATGAAACTATGTTGAAGCAACCCACAATAAAGAATCTATTTACATAGTCTACCTTTAAATTGCCAAAATTGATGATATTACTATTATATTAAGGAGAATATTGTGAAAATATAACTTTTTCCTTAGCTTTCTCTCTTTAGCAAATCTAAGATAAAGATTCTGAACAATTTAGACCAGGCAAAATAATTTTTAAGTTTAAACTATTATAGTCAATATCTTAGGCATTCTGTGAGGTAAATTCCTATGTATAGAATAGAAATAACTCATAACCTAACTATTTAAGTAAGAGTATACTTTTATATAATGAACTTTTAGTGAACTTGAAAGGTATTTTGTAGGATATTTCTGTTTACATTGAGAAATATAAACATGCTAGTTTTATGTTTTCTTAAGACTGAGAAAGTAATCCTTAGTGATAATCATGGCACTGTTCCTACCCTCTTAAACACCTCATCTAACATAACATAGATGCAACACTCTAAGACCTTTTTTTTTTTTTTTTAGGAAGTAACACTTGAACTGAATTTTTAATTTGTATTTTTCCTTAGAATCATGCATACACATAATTTAAAGAGTCAGAATTAGAATTGTTAAATAAACACAATCCATGGCCCTCATACCCACTCCATTTTCCACTTTCTGAAGGCAACCACTTTCAGTTATTCTAACTAACACCTTTGGTAGTTATCTTCAGCTAGTGGAGAAGGTAGTAGAAACTGATACTTAATGAAATGTTCCCTGTTCTAGGACATTGTGCATTAGCACATATTGAGTGCTATCATTTCTACTTTCATAGATGAAGAAGTGAAGAAATAGTTTCTGAGAGGTTAAGCAACTTGTGTAAGCATCCAGGACTAAATCTTTATAACTGACTGCTCAAAAACTAAAAGTTATAAGCCAACAAAAATGCATTTTTGTAATTAATATCTTCATTATTATTTAAGACATTATGTAATAAAATTAATTTTTTAAGGATGTGAGCAAGGACTATAGTCATCTTTGCTATTTCCAGTCCTTTAAAGTCTGTTGTCAGCCGGGCTCGGTGGCTCAGCCTGTAATCCCACGCCTTTGGGAGGCTGAGGTGAGTGGATTGCCTGAGCCCATGGGTTTGAGACCCGCCTGGGCAGGCGAGACCTCATCTCTACAATAAATCAAAAAATTAGCCCAACAGGTCGAGGCTGCGGTGGCTGGGAGCGGCCACTGCACTCCAGTCTGGATGACAGAGTGAGACTCCAACTCAAAAAATAAATAAATAAATAAATAAATAAATAAAGTCTGTTGTCTTTGCAGGGAATTAGTTTTTATTCATTGAATTCATTGCTAGACGAAGAGATTTAGATGTAGGATATGCTATTTTATTTTCAATTCAGTGAGAGAGAACAGATTGTTAGCTTGATATTTATGTATGCTCTCTGAACATGTTCATAAAAATGTAATGACTATTATTTATGCTTATTTAAAATTGCCTACATCTTAAAATCTTTATTGCAGGGTATACAAAGTCAAAATTTAGCAGAAATGGTCAGGCTTTGATTTGACTTGAAAAGGACACTATCTTTGTTATCACAGAATCATTGCTTTAATCTTTCTTTTTTTTCCTCTTCCTTTAGTACTACAGAGTGATCATTTCATATACTTATTGCAAGGTGACAATGTTCAAATAGAATCCACAGTCTTGGCTATGCTACAGAATATGCTACATATGAACAGGTGATTGGCTTTACTGGTACTGATTTTTTTTTTATTTCTGATCAGCCCCAACAAGATAAAATTTACAGTATTTTGCATGCAAACAAGTTCTGGACATGCAAATAAGCAAGAAATTAGGATCTAAAATGAGAAGAATTAGTTGATTAAAACTGACACATATGCCAGAATTAACAGACAAGGACATTAGACAGTTGTTATAAGCATATATTACATATATTCCATTATATTCCATATATTCAAGCATGAAAAGAGATGTGTAATATAAGGCCCAAATCAAACTTCTAGAGATGAAAACTATGATATCTGAGATAAAAAATATACCAGATAGGATTAACATCACATTAATATTACAGAAGATTAGTGAACTCTAAGGTATATCAATATGAAATGATAATATTTCATTCATACCAATATGAAACAAAAAGATTTTTTAAAAAAGAAAACAAAAAGATTTTTTAAAAAACAAGGAAAGAGGCTGGGCATGGTGGCTCATGCCTATAATCCCAGCACTTTCGGAGATGGAGGTGAGAGGATTCTGGAGCTCAGGGGTTCAAGACCAGCCTGAGCAATATGGCAGACCTCGTCTCTACAATAAAAACAACAACAACAACAAAAAAAAACAAAACAAGGAAAGAAAAGTTTATCAGTGAACTGTGGGACAATTTTAAGTAACCATATATAGGTATAATCAAGAGTACCTAAAGGAAGTAGTAGGGTCAGAAAAAAAAATTTGAAGAAATGGCTTAACATTTTCCAAATTTGGTGAAAACTATAATCTTGCAGATTCAAAAAGCTCCTGAAACTCCAAGTACAATAAATATGAAGAAAATTCCATATAAGCCACATCACAATCAAAGTGCTCAAACCAGTGATAAAGAGAAAAATCTTAAAAACAACTCATGGAAGGGAGGCATATGATATAGATGAATGGAGATACTTTCTTATCAGAAACAACACAAGTAGAAAGATAGTTGAGCAACATCTTTAAAGTGCTGAAAGTAAAAAAAAACTTGTCAAACTAGAATTCTGTACCTAGTGGAAATATATTTTCAAACAAAGCGTCAAATACTTTTTCTGAAATCACTAGCAGACCCACAGTACAAGAAATGTTTAAGGAAGTCCTTCAGCCAGAAGGAAAATGGATCTACACAAAGGAATGAAGAGTCTCAGAAATGAGTATGAATGCAATGACTCATGCCAGTGATTCCAGCACTTTGGGAGGACAAGGCGGGAGGATTGCTTGAGGCCAAGTATTTGAGACTAGCCTTGGCAACGTAGTGAGACCCCTCTCTAAAAATAAAAATAATAATAATAAATAAATAAATAAGAGTTTCGGAAATTATGATTGCATAGGTAAATATATAAAGATTATTTTTTGTTATAAAGTATCTATAATATTTGCCTATATTAAAATTGTTTATTTTCGAGTTTATAACATGTATAAGCAGAATGTATTCCAACAATAGCATAAAAGCTAGGAGGAGAGAGAAGGAAGCATACTGCCTTAAGACTTTTACACTATACATGAAGTTATGTGATATCACTGTAATTAGTGATAGGAATGTGATACGGTGAAATATATACTGTGAACCTTCAAGCAACCAAGAAAATCACTAAACAAAGAATTATAGCTGATAAGCAAAGGCAGTAATAATGAATCATTTAAAAAATATATAATCCAAATGAAGTTGGTTAAAAAAAAAGGAGAGAGTAAATTAGAGGAGAAACAAAACCAAATGGTAGATTTAAATCTATATTAGATGTAAATGGTTGAAAAACTCAAAAGACCGATTGACAGATTGGATTTTAAAAAGTAAGGACCAACTACAGTATATGCTATCTACCATATACAATGCAACCTATGTATCTTAAATATAAAGACACAAATAGGATAAAAGTAAAAGGATGAAAAAAGGTATACCATGCTAATACTAGTCAAAAGAAAGCTGGAATACCTATATTAATATCAGATAAAGGAAGTTTCAGAGCAAACAATATTACTAGTGATAAAGAAGTTATTTCAGGTGATAAGTTCCTCCCAGGTCCAGCCGACAGTTTTGTCCTTTCCCTTTGCACCACAGACCTCTGTCGTAGCCATGCTCTGCCAGATCCTCATTCAGTTCAGGCCAAGAAGCACTCGAACTAGATCCCCCTCTTTGTATTTATTGGCGCTAGAGGTACTAGAGCTGCACTATATCTAATTTGTATGGCAATGTTCAATCCAGATGTTAGTTGGGACAGAAAGAATAAACCAGAGTCCTGGAACAAACTAGGTCCCAATGATCAATACAAGTTCTACTCAGTGAATGTGGATTACAGCAAACTGAAGAGAGAGGGTTCAGAGTTCTAAATGAAATGTTTCACTATAAAGCTGCTTAGAATGAAGGTCTTCCACAAGCCATCTGCACAATTTTCTACTTAACCAGGAAATCTTTTCCTCTAGATGCATGAATTCACATTGATGTATTGTGTTGACGATTCCACTGATTAATAAATACCTGAAACTTGAAAAAAAAAGGTTATTTCATAATTACAAGAAAGTCAGTTTATCATGAGGACATATTTATTGACCTAGTAGCAGCATTTCAAAATACACAAGCAAAAATTAGTAAAAATTGCAAGGACAAATAAAGCATCAATTACAGTGAAAGTTGTAAGTATATCTCTCAATTGATATCACAGCCAAAAAAATTCGTGTCATAAGATTTTAACAACAGTGTCATCCAACTTGACTTGATTTACTTTTTTAGAACGTTCTACCAAGCAGCAGAATGCACATTCTTTTCCAATGCAAATGGAACATTGACAAGTCGGACACATATTCTGTTAGATGTAAATAACAAGTTTCAAGAAACTTGAAAGGATTTAAATCATATAAAGTATACTGTTTGGCCTCATTAAGTTGGAAATTGATACCAAGAAGATCTTGGAAAAGTCTCCAAGTATGTGGGAAATAATAACAGACATCTAAATAACTCACAAAACTAAGAAGAAATCAAAAGTGAAATTAGAAATTATTTTTAAATGAGTGGAAATGAAAATAACATATGAAAATTTCTGGAATACATCTTTTATTTAAAGCAGTTCTTAGGGAAAATCTATTTAATACCTCAATTAGCAAAAAAGAAAAATCTCAAATCATTGATTTCAGCTTCTACTTTAAGAAACAAGGAAATGATAAAGATCAAAGCTGAAGTCAGTAAAATAGTAAGCAAAAACAATAGTGAAAATATATCATAAACCGTTCCTTTGAGAAGATTGAAGTTCGTTGAGAAAATAAATTAAACCATAAACTGTTCTTTGAGAAGGAGAAACCTACAACAAGAGCGATCACGAAAGGAGAAGAAAATACAAATAACCAATCTTAGGAATTAAAGAGGCAACATCACAAGTCTATGAATATTATAAATATTACAAGGAAATAATGTGAACCACCTAATGATTATAAATTCAGGAATTCAGATGAAATGAACAAGTTGTTTGAAAGTCACAAACTACAAAAATTTACTCGGCAAGCAATAGTTAACCCTAATATACCCTAGATAGCTATAAAGAAAAATTAAATTTGTGACTTAAAACCTTACACAAAGGAAACTCCGGGTCTGGATGATTTTTTCACTGGTAAATTCTATTAAACATTTGAGAAAGAAATAATAATCCTAGGAAATCTCGTCTAGAAAATTGAAGAGAAGGAAATACTTTGCAACTCATTCTATGCATTCAGCAATCCTCTGATACCAAAACCTGATAAAGACATTAAAAGAAAAGAAAACTAGCCAGGCATGGTGGCTCACACCTGTAATCCCAGCATTTGGGAGGCAGAGGCGAAAGGATTGCCTGAGCCCAGGGGTTCGAGACCAGCCTGGACAACATGGCAAGACCTTGTCTCTACAATAAATCAAAAAAGAAAAGAAAAGAAAACTACTCATTAATGTACCCATGCACATAGATGCAAATGTTCTAAGCAAAATTTTAGCAAATTGAATGCAAAAATATATTAAAAAGTTAATACGACATGAATAACCCTGGTGTGTCCCAGGATTCAGGGCTAGTTTAATACTCTCAAGGCAATCATTATAACTTATTATGTTAACAAACTGAAAATGAAGGAAGATATCATATCAGTAGATACACAACAAACTTTGGTAAAATCCACTGTCCACTTATTTTAACTTTAAAAAAGAATCTCAGCAAAGTAGTAATAGAAGAGAATTTCCTTGGCCTGATGAAGAGCATCTAGAAAATCCTAAAGTTAACAGCATACTTCTTCTTTCCTTGTATGATCAGGAATGACAAGGATGTCCACTCTAACCTCTTCAGCATTGTAGTAGAGGTTCTCGCCAGTGAAGTCAAACATGAAAAAGAAAAGTTATCCATAATAGGAAGTAAATAATAAACATTTTGTAATTTTTGCAGATAATCTAACAATATACAAAAAAGCTTCTAAAACAAGTGAGCTTAGCAAGAATATTAGGACACAAAATCACTAAAAAAATATCAATTGAATTTTTATAACCATCAGTTAACAGAGATTCAGATTTTTTAAAATTGCAATTTATAATAGCATAAAAATATTAGATGCCTAGGGCTAACTCTCACAAAAGATATAAAAGACAGATTCACTGAAAACTATAAGACATTGCTGATAATTAAATAATATGTAAATAAATTGAAAGATATAAGATATACCATATTGTATACCTTAAGCACAATCCAAATCAAAATTCTGTTTTTGTAGAAATTGACAAACTGATTCTATCATGAAAATCAAAGGATTTGTTTTTTATTTTTATTTTATTTTATTTATTTATTTATTTTTTTGAGTTGGAGTCTCACCTGGTTGCCCAGACTGGAGTGCAGTGGCCGCTTCCGGCCACCGCAGCCTCACCTGCTGGGCTCCAGCGATCCTTTTGCCTCAGCCTTCCGAGTAGCCAGAATTACAGGCATGTGCTACCACCCCCGGCTGATTTTTTGATTTATTGTAGAGATGAGGTCTCGCTGCCCAGGCGAGTCTCGAACCCACGGGCTCAGGCAGGCAATCCACTCACCTCAGCCTCCCAAAGGTGTGGGATTACAGCCTGAGCCACCGAGCCTGGCCGAACCCACAGGTTTGAAACCAGCCCGGGCAGTTTGGTGAGACTTTGTCTCTATAATAAATCAAAAATTAGCCTGGTGTGATAGCGCACCTGTAGTTCCAGCTACTTGGAAGGATTGCCAGAGCCCAGCAGGTTGATGCTGTGTGACAGAGTGAGACTATGACTCAAAAAAAAACTATTAAAATAAAAGTAATTAGGTGAGTGTTTTGATATGAGATGGATAAGATAAAAGGCACAGTCAGATAAGATACCAAGTTTTCTACTATGGTATGTGAAATGCTTACATTAGCAGCATTTGTACAAACAACTCAGTAAAGTTTCATAACCTTGGTATATCAGTGTTTCACAGATGTATTCATGTAGTGCTGTCTTGCTAAGTGGCATTCATTATTGTCGTTGGTGTTTTTATGTGCCATCATGAAAATGTCAGCTTGAATTAGAGCAACTAACAACATTAAATTTCTCATTAAACTTTTCAAGAGTGGAAGTGAAATCAGGGACATATTAGTCCAAATTTATGGGGATAATGCCATGAAGAAACTGTTAGTGTACAAATGGATTAAACATTTTTCTGAGGGGAGAAAAAGCATCATTCATGAAGAGAGGTCAGGATAACCAGTAACAAGCAGAACTGAGGAAAGCATTGCAAAAATTCATCGAATTGTGCATCAGAATCATTGGCTGATTGTGAGGAGCATAGTAGACCAAATAAACATTGATGGAGAAACTGTTAGGAAAATCTTAACTGAAAATCTTGGCATGAGAAAAGTGTGTGCAGAAATGGTCCCAAAGGAGCTCTTACATCACTGACGTCACACAGCACTGTCTGAGGGAGTTTTTAGCCAGTAAAAAAAATAATTGTATTGTAACACCCTCCCTACTTATGTAGTCTGGCCCCCAGTGATTTTTTTCTTTACCAGAATATAAAGGAAATATTGAAAGGAAGACATTTTGATGATATTCAGGACATCAAAGGAAATACGACGACAGCTCTGATGGCCATTCCAGAAAAAGAGTTCCAAAATTGCTTTGACAGGTGCACTAGGTGCTGGTGTCAGTGCATAGATTCCCAAGGGGAGTACTTCAAAGGTGACCATAGTGATATTCAGCAATGAGGTATATAGCACTTTATCTAGGTTGAGTTTGTGAACTTAATTGTCAGACTCTGTATAAGGAGTTAGTTTTATGAGACAGATGATGAATTTATTGTTGGTTTTATCAATTACAGTAGTTCAACAGACAGTAAAATAAGTGCCCATACGCGAAGGTGTATACACAAATGTTCCTACCGGCTTTATTTGTAATAGCCATGGATGAGAAATGGCACAAATGTCCCTTCAACAAATAAATAGCTAAACTAACTTATGGAAGAGATCTGGGCTAGAGTTACAGACTTACAAATCAACTTATAAGTGGTAGTAAAAAACATGAGAGAAGATGAAATCAGTGGGAAATACAAATAGAGTGAGAAAAGAAATTGCTTGGAAATGGACTCCTGCGGAATCACCTTTTAGGGTTATACTGGGAGAAGGAAGCCCATAAAGAAGACTGGGGAAAAATGGTCAAAAAAGAACAACTTTGTATCACAGAAGCTGGGTAGAGAGTATCAGATACACACAGATATAAGAAAGTAAGCACTTATTGATATATATGTGACTTTACATTTGGGAAATTATATTGATGAAATGAACTTATCAAGGACGGTATAGTGAAGTAGTGAAGATAAAACCAGATGCTGTGGTTTGGGAAATGAATAGGAGGTGAAGAAGTAGAGACAAGGAAGTTTGGATTAAAAAAGAAGCAGAAAGACAAGATGGTAGTTAGTGGTATAGAGAGGATTTTTTTTTTTTTTTTTAGGATTAGAAATTAAAGAGCATCTAAAAGCATTTGAACTAGTATATTACAATATAGCATAAGCTCTTGGTGGGATATGAGGTAAAGTGGGTTATGGAGTATAGAAGTGATCAGATAGGGATATCTGTGGAAGGTTTTCTGAAATGAGCATATTTTTTTATCTGAGTTTTAAATGGTGTGATGACATTGAATGATGGGAAAGGAGTGAGCATCCTAGGCGTAGGGAATAGCATAAGACACGAGGTGGCACAGAAATAGGTGTCACAAAAATTCCTATGTATTTTTATTAGATGACATTTAAAGTTTTTCTACCCTGAAATTTAAAAATTTGGGTAGGATGCCGATGTCTTTTTTTCTTAACAAAATTATTTTGATCACTACTACAGTACAATTTTCAAAAAGTTAAAAACATGAAAAATGTAAATATAAAATTTAACTGGTCAAAATTTTAACTGATTAATTAATGAGGGAACCAGTAAGATGCTTGTACAGGTTCAAAGAATAACTTATGGAAGGGCAATTTATAGAACTGATTTGTCAAAGGAATATTTGCTAATAGATTTTTTAAAATCTGCTCATAGAAAAATACTTTAATGTCTCATAAAGCAGTATATATATAGTAGTGTTTAGAATTAACCTTTTTTTACTGGACAGAAATCATTTGCATTGCTGTTGAATATGAGTCTATATACATTGTTTCCAGATAAGAATCATTGGTGTTGTCTGTTTTCTACCTGCCAAACTCTTATTTTTATTTATAGAATTGTAAAATATCTTAATAGTAAGTAGAAAGTCAAACAAAGGTACACACCCCTAAAAAGGTCAAATGCTCCTTAAGGGAGTGAGTGAAAGGACATTCAGTAACCCTTTTTGTCTATTTCTAAGTTTTAGATAATTTTTCATGACATCAATAATGCAAGATGAGGTTATTAGTATAATGAAGGAAGTACCAAAGGAAAGATAAAGTTTTCTCCTATATTCAGCACATAATAAGTGAATTCCTATGTATTTTTGTCTTTGAATATCATTTAACAATTAACTGTGTACTTGCCTTGTGATTTTACTTTTATTGCTGCCATCAAGCTTTTGAATCACCTGTTATTTAATATTTTGCACAATTATCTTTTCCGCTGGATTTTATTGCAGGCTTCTCTAAGGAAAGGGCCTTTGGCTACTTTGTATTCTTTATTGTACATAGCATGGTACCTTGTACACAGTAGGAATTCAATAAATATTAAGTGAGTTAATATGATATATTCTTGGAACCAAACCATATGTTTTAAAAAGCAGTTGTCTTCTTGGATCAGGCCACAGTCAGGTATCAGGTTACTGAATCTTTTATACTAAATTTGTTGTGATACATTAATAATGGTACATTTTTATATTGCTCTAATAGTGGCTCTTTACAGAGAATAGAAGGAAAAACCCTGCATTCAATTTTAGATGAAGTTGTTTCCAAGCTTTTTTCCACTCCTAGTCCAATTATAAGAAGGGATACTACAAAACTTCTACTGTTGATGATTGAATGCCATTGGGAAATTTTGATTTTCCTGAGACAAAGCGGCTGCTACAAAGGTAGTGTATGCATTCTTTCTTTTCTTGGAATTCTCAAAAAGAAAATTTCTATTGATGGTTTATAAAAAATAAAATTCTTATATTTTGAAGAGTGAATAACAACTGTGCAGATAAAACCATATCACAACAGATATCAATTCAGAAAAAAGTATTTATATAATCAATCTATCTTCATATCTCAACAGATGACATGGGGTAGGTACTTTGTTGATAAGGTTGCAATAAGTATGTACTCCCTTTCTAATAAAAAGATTGTATGTTAGATATGCCATTATAATGTAGTAAAAGAATGACCAAAAAGATCAGTGACCAGTCAGGGGGTGGTGGCTCACGCCTATAATCCTAGCATTTTGGGAGGATGAGGTGAGAGGATTGCTTGAGCCCATAGGTTTGAGACCAGCCTGGGTAACTTGGCGAGACCCCATCTCTATAATAATAATAATAAATTAGCCGGTCATGGTGGCACATGCCTGTGGTTCCAACTATGTAGAAGACTGAGGCAGAAGTGTTGCCTGAACTCAGCAGGTTGAGGCTGCAGTGGCCGTGAGCATGCCATTACACTCCAGCCTGGGCAACAAAGTGAGACTCCAACTCAAAAAAAAAACCCAAAAAAACAAAAAACCAGTTACTTTATCAAGACTAGCTTTGGTGGAAAAATAGAGCTGTGCTTTAGAGGTTGATAGCCCTTTTGGTCTTAATTCATAATGAATAATTACTTTTCAACTCTTTCATTGCCTTTCTTCAAAAATAAACATTTGCCTTACCTCCAAAATCAAACACATATTTGATTAAAAATAAATTTTGAGAGTGAAAGAACTCTGTATTACCATTCTCATATAATAGCTTTCATTTAATTGAGCATTTACGATGTGACAGACACTATTCTACATAGTTTACATGCATTAAATATTTAATCTTTACAACAACCCTATGGGATAGATATTCATCCTCATTTTATAGATAGAGAAATGGAGGCAAGGTAGTTTACCCAAGATTACACAAGTGGTATATATATATTTTTAACTACCAAGCAAAGTTATACAGTAGCTTTGTATTCTTTATTTGCTGTCCAGAGCCATGTATTAATTATAATCTATTTTTCTCATTCAACATGGTGAGGAAATGGGCTTCTAATTCATTAAATATACTTATTAATATAGAGCTATACTATATGGGAATTTTTAAAGATTAGAGTATAATGTCATGCATTTAATACCTACACAATTAGAATGGTCTTTATCATTCTCGATGATTTGGAATACACTTTAATAACTTACCTTGCACTGCCGATGTTACAATTGTATGTATTGTAGGAAGAGAGAGGGAGAGAAGGTGCCAGTAATAGAACTCCTTAGTTGATGTTGTACCAGATATACATTTCTCAATTCTGTAATTGTATTCCTATAGAAATGTGAATATCCAACAGTCATTGGAAGGGAATTTTACCTTAATTCTCCCTTTCTTTGACTTGTATCTCATTAGCAAAACTTATTCAGGTTCCTCAAGGTATTTTACAGATATGAAGACTACTGAGAACTTGGGTCTTGAAGAGAGTATAAAGCATCAAAAGATCCACATAGTGGCTTCCCCAATTGTACACTACAAGGCTATTTTATTTTACTTCATGTATTTATATTGAATACATACATTATAATGTATAATTCCAACATGCCCTAGAAATAGTATTTATTTTATACTACTTTTACCACTACTTGATTATTTGGGGATGAAAATGCACTCTCCTAGTGTTATAGCACTTCTATATTTGCTCAGGAACCTATTGATTTGCCAAAAATTACATATGTTGTATGTTTATTTATTTATTTATTTATTTATTTATTTATTTATTTATTTGAGTAGGAGTCGCACTCTGATGCCCAGGCTAGAGTGTAGTGGCACGCTCACAGCTACTGCAGCCTCATCCCACTGGGCTCAGGTGATCCTTTTGCCTCAGTCTTCCAAGTAGCTGGAACCACAGGTGTGTGCCACCATGCCTGGCTAATTTTTATTTATTTATTGTAGAGATGAGGTCTTGTCATATTGCTCAGGCTGGTCTTGAACCCCTGAGCTCAAGCAGTCCTCTGTCTCCATCTCCCAAAATGCTGGAATTACAGGCATGAGCCACCATGCCTGGCCTATTGTACGTTTATAATAATATTTCTCAATTAATAATGACTAATAATAATCTGCTTAAGTCTTCCACAGGGTATCACTTACTAAGAATGTGTCTATAATAATTTATCTTAAAAATGTTTCAAATTAAGGCATTTATGTTGAAACAGGAAAACAAAGTATCTCTACTTTTTTATTTACCACAGTGATTCTACTCCTCCCTTTATAAAAAGGGATTTTCCAGATAGATTTTTGTATCAGATCTTATAAGTGAGCACATACTTTTCAGGAGAGAGGAATATCTTAAAGACTTCAACCTAGAAGTCTTTGAAAAAGAGAAAAAGCAAATTCATGATTCATCTTGTATTCATTTGTTTCAAACCATACTTTTTAAACCACAAATTAATACTGATTAACAAAATTATATTTTATTATTAATAGTTATTTCTTTTGTTATTCCGTTTCAGGATTCAGAAGACTACTAAGTCAACAGGAAACTGGAACAAAATTTAGTCAAAAACTTAAACAGCTTGTTGACATTTTAAGCCCCGCAGTCTATCAGAAAGTAGAAGAGCAGGTATTAAATTCTTAAAAAAAATGATAGTTGCTAACTGACTGTATTAAACCTCCATTTTTCTTAAATGTTTCTTGCTTTCTTTAACACTTCTAGCAAAATGCCCTCTCCAAAATAGAAATATTTTTACAATTTTTAATCCGGAAGCTGAGGAGGAGGATTGCTTGAGTCCAGGAGTTGGAAGCTATACTGTGCCATGATCACACCTGTGAATAGCCACTGCACTCAAGCCTGGGCAACACAGCAAGACCCTGTGTCAAAAAAAATTCTATCTCTGCCATTCAGTCTACCCACATAATTTCAGTCTCCCATTTATACCTGTTTATAGATACTACTACATAAATTTTATTCAGAATTTCTCATGAAATCACCATCTCTGATGTTTATCTTCTTTTATTTATAAGCTATTTAAACTTCTAAAATTATTTTTTCTAAAAAGATTTCCAACTGTAGCAAACTATATGGTCAGCTGTGGCTAGCCTTCTTGTTCTTTGAGAAATAACACTAATGCTTTTTCCCTCTAAGTAAGAAATGGTATTAATAAAAATTATTTAGAAGTGTGAAGCAGCAAGCTAATTGATTATCTTTCTTCCTCTAGTATACTCAAATAAGGAAGAAGTGTATGGCTCTCTGATATCCAGATAAAGACTTTAAATATGGAAAACAGACTTAAATAACTAATAACTGAAGATTTTTTTAATTTCAAAGAAAATGGGTACATTGTATACCCAAAATCCAAAACCAAAAAGGCAATACATTTAAAAATATATGCAGGAATCATGAAAAAAATAATCCAGTTAGGCAGGAGAATGAGTAGGGGGAACCTGGTAGAAAGAGAGCAGAGGAAGGAAACTCCCTACTTCTGTGTGTTAATCTTTGGGAGTCTTATGCAAATCTCAAAGCTATGCATGTGCTGGACACAAAATAGCATACCAAAATCTTACAGAATTAAACAGCAGCCACCCACAGAATGTCAACAAAGCTTATAGTTTAAATCTATCTGGGTTGATTGTCTGTTGAATAAAAACATTAACATATTAGCTCAAAATAGATTATGAACAGTTAGGCAAAACTATGAAATCTTTGAAAAGGTAATGAAAGAGATTGGAAGAATCTGGAGCTAACCAGACTATTTTTGAAAATGCTGTAAAGATTGCATAACTGAGCCTAACATACCTTCTTTGGGAGATTAGATTTAATACCTATAGGTCTTGCCTTTTACCCGTTTTGTGAGACGGAGATTAAAACTTGCCCTGGCCTGATATTTTAAGAAGTAAACTTTTTGAAAAAACTTTCCTAGAGATGTTTCTAAATTATTTCTGGCATTTAATTTCAGAAACTACATCAAGCAGCATGCTTGATTCAAGCTTATTGGAAGGGTTTTCAGACTAGAAAGAGATTAAAGAAGCTTCCATCTGCTGTGATTGCTTTGCAGAGGAGTTTCAGGTAAAAAAAAAAAAAAAAAAAAAAGGTGAGAGGAATGATGATCTGAGAATCTTACTAGAGTACAGTTAAATTGAAACTTAAGTGATTTTTTAAAAAAAAATTAAAATATCTCTTTTTCTCTTCATTCTTGCTTCATACATTTCTGAGTACCAACACTCCAGTTAACAGATGCATTTTCAAAGCAAAGTGCATACTATAAGATAGGACTCTAATGTATCAAATACACAATCCTATCCACTTAATATTTTTTTTTGTTGGACAAACCTACAGAGGGAGCCAATGATAGTTATATTATTAAGCCCTCAAAACCAAAAGTTGTCATAATTGTTTGTATATAATTATAATAAAAATCATATATGAGTATATAAAGGTTTAAGTATGTTACCCTTATTTTCCTGAGTAAATATGGCATGGATAAATATAGTCATTGAGATAACTTATCTCTATTTCAAGTAGACTGAAAATAAAATACTGAAGACATGGCCCACATGGCCCACTTTCTGAAATGACAAACCCATCCAGATCCTTAGAGGTAACAGAACAACAACAAAAAATGGCTTAGCTTCTAGGTCATTTCTGATAAAGAAGAACCAATCTCAGAGGTGATTGTTCGTGCAGCCTAACTTGAAGGCAAGTTTTAGTTTACTGAAATGAAACTGGTGTTTTACAGATGTCAATTTTTTAAAGAAAACTGATATCTACAGCTGCATTTCTCAGTTATAAAAACATTTTTAAATAGCTCTGAGATTCAAAATACTATATGTCACAAGATTGAAGTCACAGAAGTCACTCTGGCTAACTCCCACTTTTGTGACTCCTATTCACTAATGAAAATTTTCTTCAGGGAAGACTTAAAGATAGGTTATAAATGTTATTGGGCATGAATATTGTTAGTAGTTTAAAAAAGCCTTAATTTTTTAGATATGTATCAAGTGCCTAGTGTATGCCAGGGGATAGATGGTTACACACACACACAGTTTAACAGACTTGAGTTTGTGTGGAGTTTAATAGACTTTAGTCTGTATCTCACTTCAGTAGCTTGCTGTTTGAGTAATTTGGACAAGTTGCCCCACCTTTCTCAGCCTCAAATTTCCAATCTATAAAAGGGGAATAATACTTTACATGCCTCACAAGTTCAAGATAATATAAAATCTGAGATAATATAACTTTTTTTAGCATACTACCTAGCACTTAGAAAATGGCAGGAAAAAATACATATGACACATTTTCTGCCCTTGAATATTTACATCTGTAGCTAGAAAAGCAGGTACATTAAATAAATAGTGCACATGAGAAGCAAGTATTATCCATCTAGCATTGTTCAATGTTTATTGCCTATCCTACAAGCTGTTTCTTAAAAAAAAAAAAGCATTTCTGTGGTCAAATAAATTTGTAAAATAGTGAATACTATTTGAGTCACAATGTATATTCTTCTATTTGAAAGAGTCTGCAGTGCCCTTGGTATTGCCTTCTGTGGTGAGCTCAGATAGAGTAGTTATTACTTACAGATTCTCCTGCTATTATCCTCACCTATCTTTCTCCTTATATTTGAAGATATCCCTATACCATGAATTCACAACTTTAATGTTTAATCCCACGTAGTTGCTGAATTTTACTTTCTCTTTCAATATTAAACTCTTTTTTTTTCTTTTTTGAGTCAGAGTCTCACTCTGTCACCCAGTCTGGAGTGAGGTGGTATACTCATAGTCACTGCAGCCTTAACCTGCTGGACTCAAGCGATTCTTCTACCTCACCCTTCCAATTAGCTGGAACTACTACCCTGCCCAGCTAATTTTTTTTAAAAATTGAGACGAGGTCTCGCCAAGTAGCCCAGACTGGTCTCGAACCCCTGGGCTCAGTCCTCTCATCTCAGCCTTCCAAAGTGCTGGGATTACAGGCTTGAGCCACTGCGCCCAACCTCAATATTAAACTCTATTTAAAAATATCCCAGGATTACATATTTTGTCTACTTAGAAGTAGATCAATGGAATTTAATTAATATTCCACCATTTTAAAATAGAAATTTCATTGCTTTCTTTGTGTAACCAGACCAATAATAAATATTTCTATTAAGTAAGCTGTGAAGCCAAAATGATTTAAGTCTCACATTATGTGTTTGTTGCCTTTCCAGTATTTTGAGTTTGAGGTTCTACAATACTCTGAAATATAGGTTTAACATATTGAGTTCTATTTAATTTTTTAATTTTTAATTTCAAGTTTGCTCCAGGCTTCAGCACCTTTCCCCTTCTATTAATTGCACAGTTTATGCAAATACTTCTTGTTTCCTTTGTAGCTGGGCTTTCTTCAAAGGTTATTTCTGTCTTTTTGAGGTCAAGTCATTATAACTCAGAGTAATTTCTCCCTGCCATGTTTTTTAGGGGCAGGACTGCCTACACTTATGGGTCCAGATCAATCAGCATTCTTTAGATTCAGCAAGAGGCACTCTTATAGTCACACCCTTGCTAAAAGCACATTCATGGGGAAGGGTTATCTAATTAGTCTTATCTTCAGAAGCTTTATTTTCTATTAAGTTCTCTTTTCCTTGGCAAGGTTTTTCTGTAGCAACTAACACCTGCTCCGGAAGTCATGGGGAAGCCTCACAATTTACCTACCTATATTATTGTGCTGATGTTTATGTGTTCTGATTACATTAATTTGATTTCTTCTTGAAACTGAACTTCTTATAGGCAGAATGGTATTTTTTCTCTATCTCCCTGAGACACAGTATCTTGGCAGCAGAAAGTTTGATCAGCTCCCACTTTAATGGTAAAAATTAAGGTTGATTAAATGTAAATCATGGAAGGTACTTATATACATAATTTTGAGAATATGATATCTGATCAGTCATTTCATTTTCAGAAGTGTAATGCATACACCAGATGGTCAAGTATCTACTAATTCTTACAAAGAAATCAGTTGGATGCAAAATCCTTTCATTTTTGAGCTATTATTTTGAACTATTGTGGAGGAATTTGCATTTAAAATCACAGTCCCTAATAAATGTTTTGAAACATGGAATTAAAGCATATGAATCCAAGAAGCACACATATTTATAATTTATAGTCTGAATTATACTGAACCTCATTTTTCTATTGTCTTTCTGGTTTGTAATTTACGTCTGCCTTCATACTCCATAGTCTTTTCATTTCTGCCATATTTCATAGCCTACATGCCTAAATTGTTTCCCAAACTCAGTTTTCTGATAAATTAAATGTTCTAGCAATGCAGTTTTAATATTACCATTTTTTCATTCTAATATTAATGTTAGAATGAAAACATGGTAATATTAAATCAATATATAATATTGATAATGCAATATTAGACGTATGTATTTTTTCCTGCCCCCAAATTTATTTTTTTATAGTTCATAGAATCCCATCAGGTAAATGAACCAGTATTTACTTATCCAGTTTCCTATTATGAGACATATAGTTTGTTTTCAATTTGTTACTGTTGTAATACTATGGAGAACGTCCTTGAACATACATATCTAATTATTTCTTTAAGAGTGTTATTAAAAGTGGAATTAATTGGTCAACAATTTTAAGGTTCCTGATGCATGTTTCAAATATTTTTCCAGGCTTTTGATGCATATATTCAAATATTTCTCTAGAAAGGTTATACAGCAACAACACTTAACATATTTTGTTATAACCTAATGACATTGGGAATTATTTTTAAATGTTTTTCTGCCTGAATTTATTTGATTGCTACTGAAGTTAAGCATATTTTCATTTCATTTCTTGAATGGATATATGTTTCTGAAAATTATATGTAGGCACTTACTGTTTTCATCACAGATCTAAAAGAAAAAAGATACTGCTGGAGCTAAATAGGCAGAAGGAAGACGAGGACCTCAGATTACGTTTGCAACTTCAAAGACAGAGAGCCATGAGACTTTCTCGAGAACTACGGCTGAGTATGCTTGAAATAGTTCATCCAGGTACATGGCAGTGTCAACTATAAGGATGTTTAGGGCACCTTTTATTAAATTAAATTTTCTTACTGACTGATGTTTTTTTGTTTGGACTTTTGACCTTTTTTCTCCATTTTTCAAATAAACCTTTGTAAATTTCCTTTGTCAAAAAGTTATTTTTTTTCAGATTCAGACCTATTAGTTGATGAGCAATCTCCTCATCATTTTTCTTTTCTTGTCTTTCATATAAATTAGTATAATATAAACATTTATGCATAAAGATAGCTGTCAGAAACACAAACTTCTTGAATTGAAGTAAGGAGTTAGAATATTGCTACATTCTCCTATCAGAACTGTACTCATTCTCTATTACAAACCTTGTGACATCTTGCCACCTTTGACAGACTAAGTTGAAATTAAGAATAAAGTATAGTCTGGAAGGTATGAGTGGTTTCAAGATTTTCTTTTCTTTTTCTTTTTCTTTTTCTTTTTTTTTTTTTATTTGACACAGGGTTTCACTCTGTCACCCAGGCTGAAGTGCAGTCACATTATCATGGTTCACCACAGCATCGAACTCCCAGACTTAAGTAATCCTGCTGCCTTAGCCTCCTGAGCAACTAGGACTACAGGCGTGCACCACCATGCCTGGCTAATTTTTTTTTTTTTTTTTTTGGTGGAGATAAAGTCTTGCTTTGTTGTCCAGGCTGGCCTTGAACTTCTGGCATGTAGTGATCCTCCTGCCTCAGTCTCCCAAAGGTCTGGGATTACAGGCATGTGCCACTGCACCTGGCCGCCATCAAATTTCTTTTTTCGTTCTTTTACTTTCCTTCTGATTACTCATTCCCAGGGTCTTTTACTAGCTCCTTATTTTTTTTATTTCCCTTAGATACATTTCCTGGAGTTCCATCACCCCATTATTCTCATGTTGCTCTTCTCGGGTATTCCGTTTATAACTATAGTTTCAGCTACCACTGAGTGCTGAGCACTTTCAAATCTGGTCTCCATCCTCACCCCCTCTCCTAAGCGCTACAGCAGAACTGCCCAATAGGACTTTTTACAAAATTAAAATGTTCTGTATCTGTACCATCCAATATAGTAGCCAATGGCTAAAGGTGGCTTTTGAGTATTTGAAATGTAGCTAGTGCGCTCCAGGACCTGAATTTTAATTTTAATTGAATATTTCAACATAAGTAGCCACTTGTGGCTAGTGGCTACTATATTGGATAGCACACATCTGTAGCCAGCTGCCTATTAGATAACTTTATTTGGATATCCCCAGGCATCCTAGAAACTAAGGTTATTACTTTACCTCCTAGATTTTCTTCCTTTGTTCCTCATCTGAGATAATAGCACTAACAACCTATGCAGTTTCACATTTGAGACATCCTAGAGTTCTTTCTATCTCTTACTTCCCCATCCAATTGATAATTAAATTCTATCAGTTTTTTGTGCTCTCTTTAATAGTTTTATTACTACTTAGCGTTATTACTACTGCTACTACCTTTTACTGCCTTATTCCGTCACTTATGTAGTGTGAACCCTGGGCTATACTCTGACAACTCCAAGAAAAAGAAAGTCATCCGTGTAACTGAGTGACTTAAGAGAAATTTGAAAGCACACAGAGTAGATAACATGTACACACATTTTGCCCTATCCTTATTTCTCTAAATAAGCTGCATAATTTGGGAAAGCTTTTGTTTCTAAAATGTTGGAACCATTGTAAAATAATGGAGTTGGAGACATTAGTAAACAATAGTGGAAAAAAATAAAAAGACAAAGAGATTGTTATTGTTATCATTCTCCTGATTTCAGAACTTGACAAAACTTGGCAAGTGAGTATGTTGTAATAGTGTCTATCATCTTTTTAGGTCAGGTGGAGAAACATAATCAGGAAATGGAAGAGAAATCAGCACTGATTATTCAGAAACATTGGAGAGGGTACAGAGAAAGGAAAAACTTTTACCAACAGAAGCCTTTCCTCACAGAGTATAAAGCAACTGTTACACTTCAAAGAGCAGTGAGTCTGATGTAGTTCAAAGAGTTCTGAATTAGAAGGCAAAATCATTGGTTCAAACCTGACTTTGCTAATTACCTGCTGTAAAGCTTTAGTCAAGTCACCTAGCTTTCTAACTGAGCCTTAGTATCTTCTTTTATAAAATTCAACCTCCTTGACTCTGGCCAAGCTGATTTAGACATTCAGTGCAGAGTACTGCCATAGAACCTTCTATTACTATGCTGCAAGTTTGTTATTATTAATTTTTTTCTTTCTTATCTGAGCTATGAGAGTCTTATTTATTGTTGTCAGCACTCTGCGTGTTCTTGATATATGAATGTCTGTTTATCCTGCCTTTTTTACTCGTTGTTATATGAATCGGATGACCTAACTTATGGGAAAGTATTTTGTAAATTATAAGATCTTTTGCAAGTATAGCATGTCATATTTGATTTTTTTTTTAGATTGGAAAATATAGTTTATTTAGAAAATAAGTTAGAGAGAAAGAGATTAAGATTACCTCCCCAAGATAGGGGAGGGGGCTAAAGCCAGGAAACATGATCACAGTTCGGCAAAGCGTTGGCCCATACTTGATTTTTTTAATGCACAAATGAGGAATTAGGTTTACTTAGATCATTATAACTTTTGAATTGTGGAATGGTATTCTTAAGTGATAATATTTCTGTGAACTATCTATCACATAGAAATATTTTATTGCTTTGGAAAAGCATAGCAAAAGGCTCTTGTTTTTTTAAAATTTAATCAACAGTTTTCCTAATGTTCAGTCATTCTCTTATACGTGGTTAGCTTTCATATTAGAATTTCAGGACCTATAGCATTTAACTTAACAATACTTTATTGAACTTTTAGATCAATTTCAGTTTTTCATGGTGACAGATTTTGAACAATCTTGGTGAAAAACTTTTTTACAAAAAAATTTTTTTTTTAATCATCCAAAAAACACAGAATAAATATATCTTTCTTTTTTTTTTTTTTTTTTTTAGTTGAGTCTCACTCTATTACCCAGGCTGTAGTGCAGTGGCAGTGGCATGCTCATGGCCATGGCAGCCTCAGCCTGCTGGGCCCGGGTCATCCTTCTGCCTCAGCCTTCTAAGTAGCTGAAACTACAGGTGTGCACCATCATACCCGACTAATTTTTGATTTATTGTAGGGATGAGGTCTCACTGATTTGTCCAGATTGGTCTTGAACCCATGGGCTCAGGCAATCCTTTCACCTCAGCCTCCCAAAGTGCTGGCATTGTAGGCATGAGTCACCATGCCCGACCCACAGTAGAATAAATAGTAGAGGAAATAGGATGAGATGTCTGCCTCTTCTTCCTTCAAACTCAAACTCTTCTGGGGCTCTCAGGTTGTATCTGCAACTGTCCACACTGTCACTGAATCACATACACTCCTGTTATCTACCCTCTGCTAAACAAGGCCATCTAAAGATTAACTCATTGGTTTGTAGGTTGGAGACACTTCCTTTGAAGGAACTTTTCTAATTGTTGCCTCATGGCCTACCTCTTTTTTAATGTCTTTCCTGCCACAGAGCTAGCTGGGCCCTAACTAAGTTGACTTCCAACCTTGCCTGATATAGGTGAGCCCCATATTTGTAAAGGAGTCCTCTACTATAAAGTGAAATACCCCAGTTTGTCTACCATTCCTTAGAGAAGTAGAGGTCATCATGGGAGAGTATCTGAGGGCTATGAAGGCAAACTTGTTTTGGCTTTTAAACATTCCATTGGACAAGAGGAAGATAATTGGGTATATTTGCCTCATATCTGCTCTACCCAAGTGAAGGAATATGAGTATCTGTTTTAAGTGACAGCAAAAAGGTATGGGTCATGGTCATATTTATAGTCTTTGCATCTCACTACAAAAAATAACAGTGAAGTCAAAGCAAAGTTAGCCAAAATGGAAAAGGGAATAAGAAGACTACTTTCTTTTTTAATTTTTTTTTTTTTTTGAGTAGAAGTCTCACTCTGTCACCCAGGCTAGAGTGCAGTGGCACGCTCCCAGCCACTGCAGCCTCGACCTGCTTGGCGCTAGTGATCCTTCCACCTCAGCCTTCCAAGTAGCTAGAACTACAGGCACACACTACCACGCCCAGCTAATTTTTTGATTTATTGTAGGGACAAGATCTCACCATGTTGCCCAGGCTGGTCTCGAACCCACGGGCTCAGGCAGTCCTCTCGCCTCAGCCTCCCAAAGTGCTGGGATTTTAGACTTGAGTCACCACACCCGGCCAAGAAGACTACTTTCAATGAGAGAAAAGATTAAAAAAAAAAAACATGGGAAGTATATATAGGAAAGAAAAAGAAAAGTAATAGAGAAAATTAGAACAGGGCAATAGTAAAGGACATATTTTGCTATATTTTTAAAGTACTCTTTTCCAAGATACACTATAGACCTGCACTGTCCAATACTATAATCATTTAGGCACATGTGGTTATGCAGTACTTGACATGTCCAAATTGAAATATACTGTAAGTGTAAAATATCTACCAGATTTTGGAAACCTAATATGAAAAAAAAGAGTGTAAAGTATTCCATTAATACTTATAAAAATTGATTACTTGGTGAAATTTTAATATTTTGTGTATATTGAGTTATAATATATTTTACATAATTCAATATATGCAACATATTTCACCTGTCTTTTACTTTTTTAAATGTGAATACTGGAAAACTGAAAATTACATATGTGACTCATATTATATTTCTTTTAGCACTGCAGTTGACCTAAGAATATCCTTCCAATGAACTTGTCCCTCAGGAGAAACTCGTTATTAGTGTCCTTGGCAGGAAAAGAAAGATCAGAACTGTTATCTACCTTCTGTTTCTCCCTTACTGTAGTCAGAAGCAGAGGCATTATTTTTCCAGCAGCTAAATGTTGAGAAAACCCTATATAAAATTGCCAAAAAAGAAGAAAAAAAGAAAAATCAAGGAAAGGGAAGAATAGAAGGAAAGGAGAGAGGGTCTTTCAACAGAGGAATGCAAACACAATTGAAGACTCCAATGCCATCCTAAAAAGAAGGTCTTAGGGATGGTTTCTGAACAGCTTGTTAGTGCCCACCGTGACATATCGGCTGAAAGATAAGTATCATGGAACATCTAAGGAAAGTCAAGACCAAAGCAAACAGAATGAAACTACTTGATAGAAATAGAGATGTTGCCGGGCTCGGTGGCTCAGCCTGTAATCCCGCGCCTTTGGGAGGCTGAGGTGAGTGGATTGCCTGAGTCTGCGGGTTCGAGACCCGCCTGGGCAGCGAGACCTCATCTCTACAATAAATCAAAAAATCAGCCGGGCATGGTAGCGCATGCCTGTAATTCTGGCTACTCGGAAGGCTGAAGTGGAAGGATTGCCGGAGCCCAGCAGGTTGAGGCTGCGGTGGCTGGGAGCGGCCACTGCACTCCAGTCTGGGTGACAGAGTGAGACTCCAACTCAAAAAAAAAAAAAAAGAAATAGAGATGTTGCAGGTGTAAGAAAAAAAGTTTAATGTATTATTAATTTCCTGAGGGAGATAAGAGAAGATAATACATGAAACAAAACCCAGATGCCATATAAAGGAAGCAAATGGAAGAAAAGTTGACAGAAAAGCAGAAAGATTAATAAAAGGGCTAGGAGAAAAAGTTAAGGAAATCTCATAGAAAGCAAGGAAAAAGAGTTTGCCAGGCACATTGGTGTGCACTTGTAATCCCAGTCATTCAGGGGACTGAGGCGTGGGCATGTAAGCCCAGGAGTTCCAGACCAGCCTGGGCAACATAGTGAGATCCCATCTTAATAAAAAGGAGGAGTGGTCTTTAATTTAAAAAAAAAGAAAAGATTACCAGTCTAGGAGGTCAAACATCCAAACATTTGAAATCAAGAACCAAAAAATCAGAGGAGAGGAAATCAAACAATTCAATATTTTCCAGAACTGAATATTGTGAGTTTTACACTAAAAGGACCAACTATGTCCAATACAATGGCGGAAACATACCCACATTAATTTCAAATACTGTGAGATATCCTGGGAACAAAACGACTTCTCAGCAGTTACAATGGAAGCTAAAAAGTATTTAAATAAGACTGTCACATGTTTGAGGGAAAATGATTTCCAACTAGAATTCTATACCCAACAAAACCATTAATGAAAGGTAAGAGCAGACTAAAGACATTTTTAGGCATCACAAAATCTCTAAAAGAAGGGAGTAACCCAAGAAAGACAGGCGACGTGAACTCTAAAAACACCAGTGAAAGATGAGAAGTAGTCACCACGGAACGGCAGCTACACCCCAGGTATAAGAGCAGTCAGTTCATGTTGCAGCAGGTCAGGAAGCTCCCAAAAAGTGTATGTCCAACAAAACAATCGATAGAATGCCTGATGTGTTATAATGTGTTGGCAATTAGGGCAGAGTTTGTAAAATATAATCAGTAATACGCATAGAAAACTTAGCACGGGAAAAAGAATTAATAATTCCAGAGAGAATTTAAAAGGTGCAAGGAAGGAGAAAAGTAAACTTAATATACTGTTTTGTTCAAAAGTGAGTAACCTTGATACGGTCATTGAGCCACAAAAACAGTGAACATTGGTTTAACCAATAATATAGGATGGATGGGGACATGGAAAGTATGTGAGAGTACAGGCAATGAAAGGAAGCTAAATTCTTATCTTCCATACAATAAAATCAATAGATAATACCTGTGTCTGAAAAGAAAAATCACAGAGAAGTAGAGATAACTATCAAAAGAAAAACCTGAGTTAAAGTTGTTGCCTTTGGGGTTGAGGAACAGAGTAAATGGGTAGAGGACTATAGTTGTTTAGTTAATAATTCTTATAAAACGGACACTTTAAGCAATAGAATTACATCAGGAAACTTTTCCTGGAAAAGGGCCAAATAGTAAAATATTTTAGGCTTTGCAGGTCATGCAGTCTGTCACACTATTCAGTTGTAGCACAAAGGCAGCCAAAAGCAATAGTAAGCAAATGAGCATGACTGTGTTCCAGTAAAATGTTATTTATAGACATTGAATTTTAAATTTCATATAATTTTACATGTCACTAAATATTATTTTCCCTTTGAATTGTTTATGTAAAAAGTAAAAACACTTCTAGCTCTCAAGCCGTATGAAGGCAGTAGTAGGCTGGATTTAGCCTATGGGCTATGATTTGCTGACTCCTGCTTTAAACAATGTGAATATGTACCTTTGATGAAAATAAAAACTACAAAGAAGGGAGAATAATAAAAAAACTGGGACGAATAATTTCAAATCTGTCCTAAAATCACACCTGTTATAAGATTTCTTATTTTTATCAGGAGTCCATTCTGAAGGACATGAGAAAGAACATTCAGAAGGTGCTTATGTCATAGCCCCATACTTTACAATCTTGTAATGTTTACAAATATTTTCCTCATTTACTGGCCCTTTGATAGTTACAATCCTTAGGCTATGTAGAATTGAGATAACTTTTCAATAGACATAGAAGCTGTTAAAGAGATCAAATGACTTGCCCAAAATCATACTTTGTAAGGGATTAGAACTGAGACTAGAATCAAATGCCTGTTTCCTTTTTTCCTGTTAATTGTTTACTGTATAAATAATACATGACTATATCCTTGTTTAAAAAAAATTAAAACTCTATAGAAGAATATATAGTTTTAAAAAATCACTGTCCTTTCTCACCCTGTCACAGTTCCATCCTCCCCATATACACTTAGAGTTAACCACTATTGCAGTGTGATCATTATTATATGTTATAGGGAGAAAATGGTTCTACTAGGAGAGAAAAATCACAAACCTTCTTTTTTCCCCTCTAGGCTCTTAAATTCCTAGCAAAGTGCCGGAAGAAAAAAAACCAATTTGCTCCTTGGCAAGGGCTCCAAGAACTCAGTGATTCACGCAGAGTTGAACTAAAGCAACAAGTGGATGACTATGTCAGAAGGCATTCAGTATGTAGGCTTTTGTGCCACAATATCAGTGTTACATTATTATTCTAGTGCATGATATTCACCAAAAAAGCACTGTCTCGTGTGTGTGTGTCCATTCATTGTTTATATAAGGTAATACAGTGAATTCCACAGAGTAATCATAGAGTTAATGGATTTGAGTCTTTATAGTTACATGGCCATAAAGATGTATTCACTGATAAAGGCAGCTTTGCTTTAAATCAGTTATTGCCCATACTACATCAACAAGAGTTGGCCATTGCATATTTTGCAATAGTACAGTGAAACTTGGGCTATTTTGGACCTTCCAGAAAGAGTACTTGTAACTGTCAATCACTGCATATTCAGTCTTACATTTGCTAGACTGCTAATAAACCTCCAGAAGCCAATAAGATACAGTATTTGACTATCACAATAATACTGCTAGTACCTTTCTCTTAATAGAAATATCTCTATTTTTAACTCTCTGTGACTACCATATTGCAAATCAGGTGTTATTTGCTTCTCCCACCTGAGTTCTTGATCTTACACTCCTATGTATCTATGAAGGTCGGTTTCGTTTCTACCATGAGTGTGCCTCATCACTCCTGTCATTAATTGTAATCACCTGTGCCTTTGCTGATTCTCTGTTTTCTTCTCGCTTCTCTCATTTCCACACTTGCCTGATTTTTATGGAGAAAGTTGGCAGTTTACACAGTACAATCAATCAGAATTATTTCCCTCATTTGAATCAGCCACTCCTAATGTATCTTGGTACTTTTTATATCAGTTTTGTTGTGATTGCAGTGGTGTTTGTCTCTGAGTTCATATTCTCTCTCTCTCCCCCCACCCATACACACACACTTTGTTCTGGGGAACTATTAGAGGTTTAATGTCATATTTAGGCAATTCTGTCATTCCCTCTTTCATTCATTCCTTCAGAGCTCCCAAAATGAAAGGGCTTTATACAAAAAACAAACAAACATAAAAACCCTAAGCAGATGGAAAGCAGAGTACAAATGTATTAATAACTGAGCATGTTATCTGGTAACCACTAGAAAAGAACAATAATAAAAACTGAATAAAATAACAATGATTGCTTTCAAGACCCTTGACATCAGACAACAAATAATAATACTTTCTGAGAGGGGACAAAGTGAGCCCTAAAATTACCTAAGGAAGGTAATAGCCCAAGAAAGAAGAACAGAAAGGAGCTCTTTGGAATCCTTTAGTTGAGGAGATAGAACTGAGACTTTGGGGAGACCAAGGCAGATAGACTTCACAGAACAGAGTACCAGAGTGAAGAGAGCTGCAAGAAGAGAGAACGCCAAATATCTGCAAAATGTACCCCTTGAGTATTCTTCAGAATACTAATCGGCACATACATGTGAGGAATCAGCACATGCCCAAGGCCAAGGAAACAGTCATCTTTATTTTGTTTTTGTTTTTTTTCTTTTTGAGTCAGAGTCTCACTCTGTTGCCAAGGCTGGAGTGCAGTGGCACACTCATGGCCACCTCAGCCTCGACCTGTTAGGCTCAGGCAATCCTTCCACCTCAGCCTTCCAAGTAACTGGAACTACAGGCACGTGCCACCATGTCTGGCTAATTTTTTGATTTATTGTAGAGATGAGGTCTTGCCAAGATGCCTGGGCTGGTCTCAAACCTGGGGGCTCAGACAGTCCACTCACCTCAGCCTCCCAAAGTGCTGAGATTATAGGCATGAGCCACCGCACCCAGCTGAAACAGTCACCTTTAAATATAAGAGGGAAGAGTGCCTGAAATTTACACAATTTCATCTGTTCCCATCAAATACACTGGGGAAACTCATAATTCACAGGGTATTAGGAAGAGGGGAGAGTAGTCAGGAAGATCTTCCCTTAATGGTGGAATATAATTAGCCTAGATTCCTTCATTCTCCTAAACAAATCATAAAAGTGTTTTCATGTAATGTAACCGCAAAAAGATAAAAGTTTTCATGGAATGCAACAGCATCCCAGAAAAAGACTCAAGATTTTTAGAAATACCAAAATATCTAGCAACCAACAAGGTAAGAGTCACAATGTCTGACTGTCAATCAAAGATTAACACTTTGAATAGAGGTGGGAAAACATGTCCCATAATGAGGAGACTAGTCAGACCAATCCAGAAATTACACAGATGTTAAAATTAGCAGAGAGGGGCATTAAAACAGTTACTGAAACTGTATTCCGTATGTTCAAAAAGTTAAATAGAAATGTGGAAAATATTTTAAAATACCTAAATTCAATAGAAAAGAAGATGTCAAAATATTATATGAAATATATACTGGATGGAATTTGTAGCAAATTAGACGTGGCTGGATAAAATATTAATAAAGTTGAAGCTATATTAGTTAGATACCACACAAAATGCTTCACAAAGAAGAAAAAAGGAAAAATATTTGAAAAGAATTTTGGTGAGCTATGAGACTTTACGTGGCCTAATAAATGGATAATTGGAGTCCCTGAAGGAGATGGGGAGAAAAAATAATGGCCAAAAACTTTCTAAACTTAAAATGATAAACTCACACCGAAGCCCAATGAAGGTACATGCACATGAAAAAAACTATGGCAGTTGGGCGCAGTGGCTCGCACCTTTGATTCCAGAACTTTGGGAGGCGGAGGTGAGAGGATTGCCTGAGCACCTCAGGGGTTTGAAACCAGCCTGGGCAACTTGGTGAGACCTTGTCTCTACAATAATAAAAAAATTAGCCAGGCATGGTGGCACATGTCTGTAGTTCCAGCTTCTTGGAAGACTGAGGCAGAACGATTGCCTGAGTCCAGCAGGTCGAGGCGTGGTGGCCATGAGCGTGCCACTGCATTCCAGCCTGGGCAACAGAATGAGACTACAACTCAAAAAAAAGAAAAGAAAAGACTACCACAAGGAATATCATAGTCAAAATTTTCAAACCAATAATACTGTAAAAATTCTAAAAACATCATATAAAGACAAAGATGACATATTTATTTTTCAGTAGAATCAATGGATATCTTGCTTTAAGTTACCAAAAGAAAAAAGAGTTGTCAACTTAGAATTCTATACCTAACAAAAATATTAAAAAGACAAATACTTTTTCAGTCTAAAGTAAAGAAAGACTTGATCACCAACACACTTGCACTACCAAAATGTTAAATCTTTTAACTTGTAAAGAATTTAACATTCCAGAAATGTCAAATTTTTTAAGGTTTGAAGGATTTAGCTTTCCTATTAAAAATGATATCACAGAGAAATCTGGCTCTCTAAAAAGAAATTAAGAACACTGGAAATGGTAACTATAGCCGTGTGCCACATAATGATGTTTTGGTCAACATTGGACCACATATAGAATGGTTGTCTGATAAGATTATAATGCCATATTTTTACTGTACCTTTTCTATGTTTAGATACACAAATACTTACCATTGCATTACAATTGCCTATAATAGTACAAAAATATGCCATTCAGATTTGTAGCAATAGTCTATACCATATGGCAGGTGTATAATAGGCTATACCATGCAGGTTTGTGTAAGTATACTATAATGTTTACCTAACAATGAAATCACTTAACTGATTTTTCAGAACATATCCCTGTCATTAAGCAATGCATTAGTATACATGGGTAAATATATAGTAGTCCTCCTTTAACCTTAGGGGTTACATACCAAGACCCACAGTGGATGCCTGAAACTATGGATAGTACCAAACCCTACGTGTACTGTTTTTCCTAAACAATTCATACCTGTGATAAAGTTTAGTTTTTAAATTAGACACAGTAAGAGATTAGCAACAATAGCTATCTTTAATAAAAGTTATATGATATGGTCTCTCTTTCAAAATATCTTATTGTACTGTACCATGGATAACTGAAACCATGGAAAGCAAAACCATGGATAAGGGGGAACTGCTGTATAAGACGTTTTCCTCATCATTTAAGTCTTTATAAATATAACAGACTCTTACAATGTATACCACATAGTAACTATTTTTACTTTTGCAAGTCATACAGCCTCTATTGCAATTATTTATCTCTGCTATTATAGAACTAAAGCAGCCATATATAATATGTAAATGAATGGGTGTGGCTGTGTTTCTGTAAAACTTTATTTTCAAAAATAAGCAGTTGGTTTTAGTTTGCTGGCCCTTGTTTTAAACAAAAGCAATAATAATGCATAGTAATGTTTATAACATACTAAAAAATAAAATGAGACTCAGGCTTAAAAAAAATCATGAAGCAAAACTGATAGACCTATGATAAGAAATAGAAAAATCCACAATCATAGTTGGGAATTTCAATAACTCTCTCAACCACTTTTAGAACAAGTAGGCAGAAAAGCAGCAGGGATATGATAGATATGAGTGACGTTATCAAACACTTTAAACTGATTGACATTTTTTAGAACATTTCTCCCATCAATAGAATACACATTCTTTTGAAGTACACATAGAGCATTTACCAAGATGAACTGTTCTGTGTCATCAAACAAGTCCCAAACTAAAAACACAAAAGAAAACAGAAAATTTCAAAATATATTCTCTGACCACAATAGAGTTAAGTTAGAAATCTGTAACAGAAACATCTCTGGATGTAATCATCAAATAGATACAACACTAATTGACACACTTCTAAATAACCAAAGGGATCAAATAATAAATCAAAAGGGAAATTAGAAGGTATTTCAAACTGCTTGAAAAATTCTACCTTTCAGAACTTGTGGATTCTCTGACAGTAGTGTTTAGAAAGAAATTTTGATCACCAAACACCTATATTAAAAAAGAAAGATCGCAAATGAAAGACCTCAGTGATCCAGGCATAGTAACAAGTACCTGTGATACCAGCTATTTGAAAGGTGAGACAGGAGAGTTGCGTGAGCCCAGGAGTTCAAAGTTATAGTAGGCTATGACCATGCCTGTGAGTAGCCACTGCACTCTAGACAGGGCAACATAGCAAAGCCCTGTCTCTTAAAAAGAGGAAAGTGTTCAACATGACAAAACTAAAAAAGGAGCAAGTTAAATCCAAAATAAGT